CTATATATATATATATATATATATATATATATATATATATATATATGTGTGTGTGTGTGTGTGTGCGCGCGTGTGTGTACGCATGAATGTCAAAGCTTAGATACTTGCTATTCCTTTAAGGCTTTGTACTCTTGGGATCTCTCTCTTTGTAAGGTCCCCGTGATCAGCACTGATCTCTTGGCTTTGTATTTCTCCCTCTTGCCTTGATTTAGAAAAATTAGGGATTTCATATTTTAGCACTTTTTCATTTCTTCACCAGTTCTAATTAATTTCTATTCTGTTTAAAAAGGCTCAGATCAGTTCGTTTGCTGGCCAGACTTGATCGAACCGGATTCCTCGCCAGTTTGACCTTCGGCCCATTCCTGAAAACACTGTTCTACAGGTTTAGTTAGGTCTTTTGCAGAGCAAATCTGGACATGCCCCAAACACCAACCGAGAGGCCACCTCGTAACCCTAATGTCTAAAAGATTGTGTCGTGATTGAAATGGGTATAAAACCTAACATTCAAATATGAATGCAACGCCCTTACAGTGGATATGGGCAACTTATAATTAAGAATGCAATGCTCTTAATAGAGGTAAATGGGAACGGAAAAACTATAGTTAAAATTTGTACTACAAATATGTTTTTCATTAAACTTACAAGATAGAGAGATTAAAAAAAGAGTGTGGATTAATTAATCAAGGTTTGATGCTTGTATAATTTAATAAAGTGAACCAAACTTATGATTTAAACCATATATTTTTTTAAAATATAATATAGATTGAATATTTTTAAAAAATCATCTCAATGGAATGGATGTCGATAGCAAATCAACTATATTGCAATTGAACGGTTAAAAATAGGTATTAATCCAGATTGTAGGAGATAACTTATGCATGGGTTACCAAACATAAAAAAACTAGGTATAAAGAATTTCAGACATGTAAAAAAAACATGGAAAAACAGGATTGAAAAATTAACTATTACGCATGAACCAAACCAGCCCTTAGGTTCCTCTTTTCCGGTGGAAGGTGATTCAGCTAACATGATAGGTTGGAGCAACATAAGGTACTTCTTTTATAGACTCGTGCATATACCTCTTAACGATAATGGATGAATGTCAACATCCTCAACTCCAAGGGATCTATTCAGAATTCTAAAAAGAAAGGGATCAGTAGGATGTATCGCCCACCTATAGATCTCCATCTAGATAAACCGGATTGGAGATCTAGGTCACCTAGATGGGTGATCTAGAAAATGGAAAAAAAGTAAAAGAGGGATCTACTCATAATTCTGAAAAGAAAGGGATCCGTAGGAAGTATCGCCCATCCATAGATCCCTATCAAGATCAGCCGGATTGGTGATCTAGGTCGTCTAGATGGGTGATGTAGATAATAAAAAAAGTAAAAGAGAGATCTACTCAGAATTCTAAAAAGAAAGGGATCAATAGGATGTATCGCCCACCCACAGATCCCCATCCAGATCAGCCGGATTGGAGATCTAGGTCGTCTAGATGGGTGATCTAGATAATAAAAAAGTAAAAGAAAAAAAATATTATGTATTGTATAGATGTATGTACGTTATATCATTTGCTCTAAGTAGCCAAGTAAGTTAGACAATGTGATTGATAACACGAAGTATGGGGGATCGGTTCCCTCTTTCACATTTTTTATATATATCCTTGAGGAGAAAAATAAAAAGGATAAATTCTTCCAATATCTTAATTTAGTATACTATTTTCTAGTGGACCAATAAATTTGAAAAGCTTCAAGCGGCATTAACATTTCAGAAAATGTGTCTTCTAACCCGAAAGCCCTTTATATATATTTTATCAGATATTTTTATCTCAAACAATCGTCAAAATGACACTACAGCCTCCCTTTCGTCTCTTTCATACTACGCTTTTTCTATCTCGACCTCTCTTTCTCTCCCATGCCCTCTCTCCCTCTGTCTCCTCCCCTTTGACTCTCTCGCTCCCTCTCTTTCTCTTCCCCTCCAACTCTCGAACTCTTGTTTTTGTCATATTTCTCTCTTTCCCTCCCTTTCTCTCTCATGATTTTTCACCATTTGAATTTGCAGAGTGAATTGAAGGGGAAGGATAAGGAGTGGTGCTTGTGCGCAAACAAAAGTTCGTACCCAACGGGTGAATTTTTCACACTCATTATACTTCACTCTTCCTCTGTCTCTCTCTTTCATACTCCCTGGTTTTTCTAACCCACCTCTATCTACTCTCTCTCCCCTAAACTCTCTCTCTCTTCCCCACTAC